GCGAGGCCCAGTGCGCGCGTCCGCCTCCTCCCTGTCCTCGTCCTCCTCGTCCTCGTCCTCCTCGTCCTCGTCCTCCTCCTCGTCCTCGTCCTCGTCGTCCTCGCCCTCGCCCTCGTCCTCGTCGCCCTCGTCCTCGTCTTCATCGTCTGCCTCGTCGCCCTCGTCGCCCTGCGCCCCGGGCCGTTCCTCTCAGACGCTCCCCCCCCAAAAAAAAAATGTTGAGCAACGGGTCTGGGGCAATCTTCGGCCTCTGGGGGCCCCCGGCGGGCCGCGGGAGCGTCACGGAGCGACTCTCAGGAGTGGAAAAAACACACAGACACAATGAATCGTCGATTCCCCAGGAACATATGGGAAAATCTGGGAAGTGGGGGGGAAGACAAACACCCAGAACATATGGGAAAATATGGGGAATCCTTTTTCTGATTTGTGTGTATTTATTTGTGTGTTCCAGGGCCCCTTCAGGGGCGCAAAGCCAGTCCCAGGGAAGTGGTCCCCAGACCGCCGGGGCCCACGCGCCGAACCAACTGGAGCGGCCGGGTGTGTGTGGGGGGCCCTCCCTATCCTCCCTGCCCCTCCCTCCTCGCCTTTCCTCCCTCCTCGCCCTGCCCCTCCTCGCCCTCATCAGCATCGTCATTCTCCTCCCCCTCCCCCCACCCCTCGTCCTCCTCCCCTCCGGAGCAAGGAGCAAGAAGGAGCAGGCCTTCAGGGAGGAGGGGAGGGAAGGAGGGGAGGGGAGGCCTTCAGGGAGCAAGGGCAGAGCGAGGAGGGGAAGCAAGAAGGAGCAGGCCTTCTTAGGAGGCGGCGGGGGCTTCTTAGAAGCCCTCCGTCCTTCAGAGAGGCTTTCGGTGTCTTCGGGGCAGACTCCGACAACTTCTCCGAAGGCCGGGGGACATATGAGAAGGCCTTCTCCTTCTCACTTCCCCCCCGGGCTCGCCGACGACTTTCCTCCGACGCTGGCACGGGCGTGGTTTTCCATGGTTCGAAGCTTGGGCGAAGGCTGGCAAACCCGTGGCTGCTAAAACGGTCTCCCTGGAAGACAGACAATTTCCTGAATTAGAAGGCAGCGCGCTGAATCGTAAACGGCCTGCTTCCCGGAGGGAAAAGCAATTTCCCGGAGCTCCGTTGTAGCAGCCACGGGTTTGCTATAGCCTCCCCCCGGCTCCTGAGTGGTCCTCCCTCACACGTTCCGCGGCCCCATGAGAGCAGCCTCCAGCGAAGGCCCCGGCGGCAACGTCCGCACAGCGGCCCCGCCCAGCTTCGCCGCGCCCCCCAGGCACGTTCCGCGAGCCCATTGTAGGGAGCTCCGCCGAGGGGGGGGGGGCCCAGCAGCAAAGTCCGCATGCCACCACCGAATGATTTTGTCGGGGGTGGACAGAACCCCCCACAGTGACACGTCGATTAGTGAGTTGTCCGTTTTCGGTTCTCGAGAGGGCGCCGTGGCCGTTATTTTCCAGGCTTGCGCCCGCCAGGTTTGGGCCTCAGGTCGTTTTCACTAAACCACCTTTTACTAAAGGGGGGTCTGTCCATCCCCGATTTTGGCACACCTCTCGAATGATTCGCTCTGATTTTCCGTGCCGCTTGCCTTTCTGTATGGGGAAGTCGGAGACGCATACTCGGAGGTTGACAGACCTCCTACCCTGACGCGTCGATTAGCGAATCGGCCGTTTTCGGTTCGCGAGGGGGCGCCGCGGCCGTCACCTTTGCGGGTCCAGGTCCGTCGGTTTCGGCCCTAGGCCGTCTTCACTAAAGGGAGGCTTACTGAAGGGAGGTTTGTCCACCGCCGATATGTGCGGGCCGGGCCCCCCCTGTTGTGTACCATGCTCTGGGCCTCCAGCCGTTTCTGTTCCGTCGGGCCGCGCCAGGCTTGAACAGCGGGAGCGCGGCGCCTCTGAGATGACAGCCTTGCGTGCTTTGTTTCCAGGGCCCCGCGCGCGCCCGCCGAGGCCTTGCCGACATCTCGTTGTTTCCATTCGATTGTGGTTCCTCGCTCGGCTCTGGCGGGCTCCGCCAAGTACGCATGGCCAGCCCATCCGTTGTCGTCGCGCGCTGCGCCTCCCTCAGCAGACGTCGTCGCTGGGCCGACTGGGAGCGCCTTGGGGCTGCTATAAGGACTTTTTTTTTGCCGCGATTATCCATACTCTTGCGACTCCGTCCACTGCGCTTCCTGCCCTTAGTGCATCCAGCTTCCCCGTACTCGCACCTGGATGTGGCTGTGCCCTTCGCCAGTCTAGTTTTACTCTGCGTGGCTGTCCATGGTCGTCCTCGCTCCTCCCTCTCCCCCTGCCTCCGACCTCCGCCCTCCTCCCTCCCTCCTTTCTTCCTCCTGCCCGCGCTCGCGCCTCCGCAGCTGTCCTGGTCTCCCCGCGTGGGAGCAGCCGTGGATGGACCTCATGTGGGCCCATCGGGCCAGGCTTTGAGGCCTGGCGGTGGCTTACCTTGGGTAAGCTTCTGGAGAGCCTTGGTGCCCCCTTCTGTGGGTGGTGCACAGGGCTCTTTGAATTTCTTGGCTGCACGGATGGTCCAGGCTCCGCATCGGGAGCACCAAATGACACCATTCAACTTCTTGATGAACGGCCCGTGGGACGGGTGAAAACGGTTTTGCGGTCCTGGGGAGACGCAGGGGGTCTTAAGCCACCTGGGAGTTCCCTTGATAACACCACCTTGCTTGCCACAGACATGGCAGGCGATCTGGAAAAGGGGAGGGGCAGGGGCAGAAAGGAGGGAGTGGGGCGTCCTAGTCAGCTCAACCTGCAAGGCTGCTACGCTACGCTCCACCTTCACTTTCCTACGCTTCTCCTCGACATCCTCATCCTCCTCGAGGCCCAAGGGGTCTTTGTGGCTCCAGTAGTGACCCTGAACGGCTGCCAATCTATCCCTGATGAGATCGGCGTGAATACCAGTGCCTTGGAGGTGCCGAACGAGGGGCTCTGGAACTTGACGCAACTGAGCTGCTTCCGCAGCGAGTATGTCTGCGTGTGCATTGAGGTGTAGGGCCCAGGGAGGCTCTCGAGCGGCTTCTTCTTCGGTGGGATGGCTTTTCGCTTTGTAGAAGATCGTACTCTCCCGTCGGTTTTTGGCCAGGGTTCAGAACTTCTGCCAAGTGAACTGGTTCTTGGGGTGCCCAAAACGTGGGCCTCTGCTGAAGCCCTTGATCACATACGCACAGTCAATCACGATAGTGAGGCGGCCGCGGGTGGACTCCAGCAACGCAGTGACTGCCTCGAGCTCCGCAGCGGCACGGTCTGCGGGCCGATGATCCCTCCTTGGATAGTTCCTTTCCAAGTGAGGTCGTGTGCCCACAAAGATACGCTCCAGCCGCAGACTCTGATGCGCGGGTCCTGCGTGTGAGGCCCTCCACTGCCGTCTGTCGCTGCCACCTGCCAGTCATCGAACTGATAGACTGCATGCTGCTCGAATACTCCTTTTCGGATCGTGTCCTGGTCTAGTCCCAGAATGTGCCCATGGACTTGACGTAGGATCGTGGCAGGGATGATTCCTCGGAGCCAGAGACTGGGGTTCATTGGGGACTCGACCACTGCCCGATCAATGGAGCCCTGGGCCCGATTGATGGCGGGGATGTTGAGACTTCCCAAGTCAGGACACGTCCAAGTTTTGTGTAAATCATCTCCGTGCTCTTGGCCGCAGAGAGGGCATTCGGCATCGTCCTGCTGGCCGCTCTCAAACCTGCGGTGGGCGCTCCAGCACCTCGAGCAGGAAACGGCCTCTAAAGCTGCTGGAAAAGTTGTTTCTCGTTGGGGTCCCTCCTGGGCCTGAACTTGTTGGGCTTCGGGGAGGGGGTACTCGGCTAGCTGCTTCTCGCGCTTCTTGATGGCGGCTCGCTTTTCGGCAGGGTAGAGCCGTAGAGAGTACACGTCCCCCCCTCCTGAAGGCCTCCAGAGTTGTGGCTGAGGGGGTATGTCGCTTTCCGGACATGCATGTTCAAGAGGAACTCCAAGTGAAACGTGACAACCTTCAGCTTGTCCCAGCTCAGCGGCTTGACGGGGAACTCTAGGCCCTCGGGGTCCCTCCAGGGCCATGCCGAGGTTGGGGTCCAGCCTAGGTCGTACAGGGTGGCGATGACCGCGGACAGGTGGGACCTGACCATGAGCCACCTTGATGGTCTCTTGAGCTTCCCCCTCAGAGTCTCCCCAAGCCTTCTGGGCGCCTCCGAGGATGCTGAGTTTGGTGTTGATAACCCGAAACCACATCGTGAACAGTTGGACCCGAATATAGACCCCTGGATCCATGCTAGATGGGTGTCCCGGACGGGTGTGGAGGCCAGTGGTGAGGCAGGCCCCTGCTTCAGATACTCCATGTGCCGCTCCCGCCAATCGGCGGAAGTACTGGACTTCGGTCGGCGCTGATCCGCGTCCCTCCATGCGCCACTTCAGCTGCGGTTGGGCGCCTGTGCGGAAAAGAGATGGCGCCTTGGTTGTAGTCTTGGCCAGCTTCTTGATGTTCTTGTGTATTTGCATTCCGAGGCGACGACGGGTTTGGCGATTTCCCAGGACCCTTTGCTTCCTGATCGTGGTGTCGACCCCCAGGTGCCGAGCATGCTGGGAGGGTCGGATCTGGACCCCCGCTTGATTGAGTTCATTGGCGGCCGTGGTGCGGATGTCGTTGGAGCTGGCCAGGGCCACAGACTTACCAGAGAGACGGCATCCTAGGTCAGCGAGTCCTCTACATAACTGAATGATAAGCTCTGGGAAGGCTTCTTTCAGGGCCGCTGGGCCCCCCACGAGACGGACCCTGATGTCGTCAACCCAGGTTCGGATCGTGGGCCTTGGGATCCAGTGATGGGTCAACTCGAGGACGTCGTACAGGAGGGCCCTGGTCCAGGAAACGCGCTGTCCGCACCCTTGGAGAATTGAGGCCATCGGGATGAGGGGCTCGCTGACTCCGATCGGCGTCGTGAGGGCTCTAGTACACGTGTGGATAGTCATGCCCCGCGCCAGTGGAACCACTGGGTAGCCTAGGGCGAGGGCCTTCTCAGCCAGCCT